TGGCCAGTGGCTAGGCAGGAAGTATAGGCGGGACTAACAGAGAGGAGAAAAGAAAGAACAGGAAGGCAGAAGGAGTGACTGCCAGCCACCACCCTGAGAAGCACATGAAAAGATGCTGGTAAGCCACGAGCCACATGGCAGGGTATAGATTTGTGGAAATGGATTAATTTAAGCTATAAGAACAGTTAGCAAGAAGCCTGCCACGGCCATACAGTTTGTAAGCAATATAAGCCTCTGTGTTTACTTCGTTGGGTCTGAGGAGCTGTGGGACTGGTGGGTGACAAAGATTTGTCCTGACTGTGGGCAAGGCAGGAAAGCTCTAGCTACAGATCTCATTTACTGGTGGCACAAAATGACCTGTGGCTAAGAATGTGGATGTATGGATACATGTGATACATGGAGTTTTGCCCTGGCTGTCTGCACAGCGGACCCGGTTATTTTCTTATGTCCCACACGTAGCTATACTAATTGGCTGAATTCCTTTATTGGCTACACAATTCATTGTTTATTGTCTTCTTTGGCTCTTCATTGTGGTATCTACAGCTCATGACAGAGATAAAGAGAAGAGGTTTATAGAAGGGCCTATTAGAACAGGTTTAGTGTATAAAGACAATCATATCCCACCGACATGCCCAACAGTCATCCATGATAAATAAACTCAAAAGCCAGGTAGACAGGATGACTTGGCATGTACATATCAGCTGGCTTTTTCCTCCAGCTGTGCCAGTGGTTACTCACTGGAACAGATACAAAACAGCAGGGTGGCAGAAATGAACACCAGGCTCAACTTCCTTCAGCAAAGTTAGTGTGACTACCACTCTGGTGACTGTCTAGTGGCCACAGCAGAAGCTGACACTCTGTCTCCAGCATGGCACCATTCCCTAGTGGGATTAGCCAAAGGAATCTAGTTGTAAATCAGAATGCTTCCTTTACTGGAGACAGAAATACTTGTGGGAATAGATGTATTTTCAGATTTTTCTTTTTTGCTCCTGATACTCCTGTCAGAATCATTGTCCAGAGATTCACAAAGACAATGTTACCCCACATGTAACTCATGACCAACAAGCTCATTTGGTAGTGAAAGGAGGTTTATGCTATAAATTCATTGGTCCTAGGATATATGCTATCATGCAGACACCACTGGCCTGGAAGTGCTGTGGAATGGTACACTAATGGCATACATGTGTGCACACCTCTCCCACACTTATACACAATAAAAAAAAATCTTTGAGGGCCAGGCACAGTAGTGTATGTCTTTAATCCCAGCACTTGGGGACAGAGGCAATCAGGTCTCTGTAAGTTCGAGGCCAGCCTGGTCTGTATAGCAAGTTCCAGGACAACCAACACTACATAGTGAGACCTTGTCTTAACAAAACAAAACAAAACAACTATAATAAAAATCTTTTAAAAAGAAATATTAATTCCACTAATAGATGACACAGTAACTAAATATGATATCATTAACTATAGATGACATAGATTTTAGACATGCCAATCATTTTTTGGTTCCAACTATTTTAGCTAACAGTACACAGGTAAAGTTTTCCCATCCCTGGACCCTCATTTTTCTGAGGCTTTTCACATCTTAAGATAACCTGTGGGGTGGACAGATAGCTAGGGTCTGTTGGAGATTGTGAATCTCAAATAAGATGAGTTTTTGAAATGGTAAAGATACATAAAAGCCATAACACTTATTTCTCCCTATGACAACCACTGTGCAGGCACTATGTACATCTCAGACATGAGCTCAGTGAGAGGAGAATGTGGAATTTCAGGCTGCCCGAGAGAAAAGTCCACGCTGAAGCCTCTGGCCAGCCTCCAGCACACACTGGATGAAGGAATGTGGTTCCTTATTCACAGGTGACCAGCCAGGCAGACTTAGGCATGACTGATGACATCTCACAGCCCATTGGCTGTGCGGAAAAAATGGAAAAATGTACCCTAGCTATTAAAAAAAAAGGCAATAGGAAGCAAATGAAAAAATTTAAACTGAGCTTGAAAGCTCGGAGGAAAAAAAGAAACAACACAAATAACCCAAAGCAGAATAAATGATTCAGCCATTTCCTTGGATCAGCTCTGGCTGCGTGTGCTGGGCGTACTGAGACAGAATTAGCAGAGCTTCCAGAGAATTCTATCCAATCACCCTGCTCTTGCTTCGATGCCTCCCATTAGTACTTGACAGGAGCTTTTCAGTTTCGCCCTCCAGGAAAGTGGGGCACAGTTATCGAGGCCCTTGGACCACGTTTCATTACAGTGAGAAAGAAAATGTACATTGTGCGTGATTTACCTCACATCTATTTTTCAACAAATAGCTACTCACCCACCATAATCTGGTGGCCAGGCTCAGGCCTCGCCATCAGTCTTCTGAAGGGGTTCTGCTGAAGAACGTGGTTTTGCTCGGCAGGAACTTGAGGTACTGATTCCCGAGAACATGAGGCGCTTTGGAATGTCAGGCTAACAAACGGCCAGACAACGGGAAATATACAATATTAACTCTGAAAAAGCAAACAGACAAATGAAAACCTCCAGGAACTCCCACTGCATCTCCAGGTGAGTCTGGGTCTATGTAGGAGTTGGGGCTGGTGGGGCCGTCAGGGAGCAGAAGAGGGGGTGTTTTCTACCAGAAGCCTCCAGGGCAGAGAACACCGAGCCAGCAGTGCGCTGCCGCTGCCGCTGCCGGAGGGTAGCGGGTTTCTAAGAGGCAGGGCTGCTGCAATGGAATAGAGCGGGGTTCCGAATGAGAGCTCAGTTGAGAGACTCGGGCCAACCCAGGCGTGGTGGCGCACACCTTTAACCCCAACACGGAAGAAGTGGAGGCAAGAGCATCAGGAGCTCAAGGTTACCCTTGGCTACAAAGCAAGTTCAAAGCCAGACTGGGCTACGTGATGAGATTCTTTCAGAACAAAACAAGACACAGGCCATTTCTAGTCCAGCAGCGCTCTGGATTCCCACTGGACAGAAAGGACAGAAAGGTCTGCATACCAGTTGAAATGAGCCGCTGAAGCTGTTGGCATGTTTAAGGACATATCAAAGGGTCATGGGAGTCAGGAGACCTGTTTCCAGGGAGAAGAGTGTGGCTGAGAGAGTTTTCTGGGCAAGTATCCAGGCACCCGAACTCAGCAGGAGGCCAGGGTGACAGGCAGCGGTCTGGGTACCAAGCACCTCTATGAGATGCTCTAGGATAAAGCAAGTGCGAGCTGGACAGACTGAAGGGTGTGGTCAGAAAACAGGGTGGGGTGCGAGTGGGAATGGGGAAATGTCTCTGGGGTAAAAGGCACTTGCCATATAAACCCGATGACCCGACTTTGGACCCATTAAACCCGTATAAAAGCCAGACTCAGTAGTGCAGACACCT